GCGTTTCCACTGTGTTGACTGCTGGTGCGTTCACGTAAGTTTGTTTATTTATTTTTAATTTATTTATTTGGCTTTTCTCGTGCAATGGTGTTAGTTTTTTTAATTATCCTCGTGTGTTTTTATTATAATGTGAAACTTTATTTTATCCCTGAAAAAGCATGAGCAGTGTCTAAATAATTCCAGTGTTAAGAGTTTAATTTTAAGTTTTATACTTATTGTATTTAAACGCCCCACAAGTGCACGCCTCTTTACGTCAGCGCTGTAGAAGCACGTCTTTCTGTCCAGGTCTGTGATTGGCTGTTTCAGCTACCGTCTGTTCATCTATTGGCTGCTCTACAGAACAGTGAAACGGGAAGCTTATGTCAACTGCACGTTACGTTCGTTCCTCACCTTCGTCGCATTTCCCCGCAGCTTAACGTTGACATAAGACCTGGTCGTCCCTGAAAAGCGCAATGGGGTGCTTCTATTCGAAGAAATCCAAAAGAAAGTCCAGAGAAAAGGATGGTGCAACACCGACAGCCACGGACGAGACCAACGCGGTTCCCCTTGGCAACAACATCGACGAAGCACCGAAGCAGTACAGCTGGGATAAGAGAGAAAAGGTGGGGCAGTTCAGGCTGTTTAACTAAAAAAAAAAAGTCATAAATTGATGAAAGAAAACGGAATGTGGTGAAGTTAGTTATTATGTTTTGGTTTTTATCTGGCCTTTATCGCTTGCGTGGTTTAGCTAGCTAGTTTACATCTCGAGCAAGTAACTAAGGTTTTGTTTTTTGTGTAAAAAAATAATAAAAGAAGAAGTAAAACGTCTAAAAACCAAGTATATATATTATAAATAAACGCATAAATGAGGTTTAGATAAAATCTCTGTCTCGTATGATTAATTGGGTAAAGCTGGAGGAGAGTGTTGCTCCTGAATGAAGAGCTCAGGGGGTTTGAAGCAGGTCAGTCTTATCTCATTAAAGGATTACTACAACATTAGAGCCTTCAGTTAACTCTGCTGAGACATGCGGGCGTCAACCACTGCGGTGAGCAAGACCTGATGTTAGCTTCCGAGTCAGGAAATGACTAAAGGGCGATTACAACTAATTTTTCACTGCCTTGAGCGTGTTTAATCWGCTCTAGCTCAAAAAGTACAACACCTAGACCAGGGGTGCCCAAACATTTTCCCCGAGGGGGCCAAAATGAAAATCTATCCACGGCTGTGGGCCAAATGCAGTAATATAATACATGAAATACAAATTTTTTAAAGTAAAGTCCTTTTATTTTTAACAATCAAGCTATGCAATGGCCCTCTTTTGTTTTAGTTTGTGCACTTGGAGAAAGTCTGCCATACGCTCAAGTAGCAAATGCTCATGGAACATATCATAAACTGATAAAATATGAGTTTTTATGGCCTTATAAAGTGTGAAAATCTACATGTGGGGTTAAATCTGATCTAAATATTTCTTGTCATTTCATGTTTCATGTTTAATCCTAATAAATCAAAGATAAAGTCRGCACCATGAAAGAAAACTACCTTCACTACAGCCCTTTTATACAAAGTCATTTGACCAATAGAAATACTGTGTTTCCACATAGGATAACAGGTTACAACCTTATAACTTTGGCAACTGTAGGTGGGCCAAATCAAATGGCTTGGCGGGCCAAATTTGGCCCGCGGGCCCCACTTTGGGCTCCTCTGACCTAGACTCTTCAAACCTGGACCAGTACAAGAGTGGTCCAGATGCATAAAAAGTGTCATAGTCACAACTTTATTGAAGTTTCACAAATCAGATTAAGGTTTTACAAATCCCAAACTTATTTTTTAAACATTCTTCTATTAGTGTAGAATAATCTCGTCTAGGTTTTGTGGTTTTTGAGCTGGACCAGGTCTAGTGTGGTCCAATTGCCTAAAAAATGATTAAATTAAAATTAAAATTGTACTGAAGTTTCAAAAAAATCAGAAAAAGATTTTACAAATATCCAACTTTAATTTTAAATATTCTTCTATTAGTGTAGAATAATCTAGCCCAGGTTTGAAGAGTCCAGGGCTGTGTCCAAAACGACAGGCCGGGTCCTCCAGACGGAGGACCCAGACTCCCCGGTCGTGGCAGGCCGGGTCCTTGGTAGACCGGGAAGACCGGAAGAAAAGAGTCTGTGAATTTGGACGGTCCAGCCT